TTCTTCTTTCTTTTCTTTCTTTCCTTCCTTCCTCCCTTTCTTCCTTTTTCTTTCTTTCTCTCTTTCCTTCCTTCCTTCCTTCTTTCTCTCTCTTTCCTTTCTTTCTTTCTTTCTTTCTTTTTCTTTCTTTCTTTCTCTCTCCTTTCTTTCTCTCTCTCTCTTTTTCTTTCTTCCTTCCTTCCTTCCTTCTTCCTTCCTTTCCTTTCTTTCTTTCTCTCTCTCTCCTTCCTTCCTTCTTTCTTTCTATCTTTCTTTCTCTTTTCTTTTCTTTTCTTCTTTTCTTTTCTTTTCTCTTTCTCACTCTGTTGCCCAGGCTGGAGTGCAGTGGTGCAATCTTGGCTCACTGCAGCCTCTGCCTCCTAGTTTCAGGCGATTCTCCTGCCTCAGCCTCTCCAGTAGCTGGGATTATAGGCACCCGCTATCACACATGACTAATTTTTGTATTTTTAGTAGAGATGGGGTTTTGCCATGTTGGCTAGCCTAGTCTTGAACTCCTGACCTCAAGTGATCCACCTGCCTTGGCCTCCCAAAGTGCTGGGATTATAGGCATGAGCCACTGTGCCCAGCCTCCAATAGATCTTTTTCTATTTGAACTAGCTAGAGAGGATTCTGTTGTCTATCACTAAAAGTCTTAGCTGATCCACTGTATTTTAAATTTGAGTAAAGGACAGCAAAATATTTTGAATAAAATGCTGTCCGTAACCAAAATGATGACACACTCCTGTTCGTGATAGAGAAAGGGCTTTGGGTTGCTTTTCCAGAAAAGGTAAAAGATTAATACAAATCTATTAATTTCTTGGGAGAAATTAACATTGCATGACTTATATTCAACTAGAGAGACCTGCTTATCTTTCATCAGTGCTACTGCACAGTGGATGACCCAACTCCATGTAACTCCCTCTTCCTGAGACAGAGTTTTGCTCTGTTGCCCAGGCTGGAGTGTAGTGGTGCGATCTTGGCTCACTGCAACCTCCCCAACCCGAGTTCAAAGGATTCTCCTGCCTCAGCCTCCCAAGTAGCTGGCAGTGCACACTATGAGTAGCAAGTGCATGCCACCACACCTGGCTAATTTTTTTATTTTACTAGAGGCAGGGTTTCACCATGTTGGCCAGACTAAGCAGAGCTTCTGAGCTCAGGTGATTTACCTGCCTTGGCCTCCCAAAGTGCTGGGATTACAGGTGTGAGCCATAGCACCCAGCCCCTCTTCCTTTATAAATGTGAGAATCGCCAGAAAGAAATGTCAGAGCTCCTTCATTCCTCTCCTATTATCCAACAAGACACATTGATTTCCTGATGTTGGCTGGTTGCTTTTTGGGTACAAATAAAAGAAGAGAGACGCAAGGCACTGTTTTTTTCTTAAACCACCTATGTGGCAGATTTCATTCAAAGAAAGACTGACTTGAAAACTTATGCCTTCCCGAGCCCCTCGCCTTCTATATTTTTTCTGAAACTTTCACATTTAAAAACAATCATTTGAAGATGTAAATAAAAACCAAATCAAATAGTGCATCTGTTTAAATCATTTATTTCAATACAGGCATTGTTTTAAATTTGCACCTTGTCTTGTAACACATTTCATACCCAGAGAACAAGTCTGAGAACAAGTACATAAAAGGATTATTTGACAAAGTTTTAACAAAAGTGCGTACAGCTTATTTGTTTCAGATACACAGAATCGCCAGTCACAAAGAGCCGCTAAGTGGCAATACATTCACAAACTTGCCTGGGAAGTAAAATATTTTACATATTTACACTGTACATTTAAATGGGGTATTCTGAAGCATTATCATTATCAATAAACTCTTAGCAAGAGTTCTCTTAAACCCTTTGGCACTTAACAAAGGATATTGATTTTATGGAGGTAAGAGTTTTCCAGTTTAATTCCCATCTTTGCCATAACCTAAGTGGATTTTTACCCCGCCCCCCCCACACACATATTTACCTCCTACACAGAGTAGTTTGTATTAGCTTATCACTGACCAAATCTTTGTTAGTAGCAGTTGGAATTTTGTTGGCATCAATGTATTTACAATGTAAGAGTGAATTATTTAGAGGGGAGTCTCTAAAAATTAAAATAATCTCATTATACCCTATTTTAAATGGACTTTACAGTATAAAATTTATGGTTATAGAAATCTGGTATCGAAACAGGTGTGTAATTTATAAGGTACTTATTAGAATTGATTCCCCCATGATTTACTCCATTTACATGAATGTTTATTTGAATAATGATTATATATTTCAGAAAACAAGTTATGAATATAAAAATGACTATTATAAGTTACCATAGCTATATCAAAAATGAACATTAAAATGCAGTGGCTTATATGTTAAAAATACATAGAAATTTGCTATACTTCTTTAACGAAGTGCTTTATAAAAGTATAAAACTGTAAAAGGTGCTATTTTCATGAATTTTATGTTTTCCTGATACTTGAGCTAGACCAACATGCAAACATTACAATAGTGCAATTGAACACTGGCCATCAATTGCCTTTGAATTTAAATAGTAGATTCCAGCAGTCTGGGCCCCAAAGCAGTTTCATCCTTACCTAACTTACGTAACTGTCAATACAGCCTAAACTCACCGAAAAAAAAGCTAACTTCATTTCACCTTTTGTGCATACACATAGACTCAGAGTATAAACTAAAATATAATTTGAAAGCTGATCATTAAAAAATTCAGAGTTAATAATTAAAATATTAACTCTGAGTATCTTAAAATTGCATAGAAAATGTAGGTCATGGTTTATAAAAGTTTTACTATCAGATGAACAGGCCGGGTACAGTGGATCATGCCTCTAATTCCAGCACTTTGGGAAGTTGAGGCGGGTGAATCACCTGAGGTCAGGAGTTTGAAACTAGCCTGGCCAACATGGTGAAACCCCTGTCTCTACTAAAAATACAAAAATTAGCCAGGCACAGTGGTGGGCACCTGTAATCCCAGCTACTTGGGAGGCTGAGGCAGGAGAATTGCTTGAACCCAGGATGCAGAGGCGGCAGTGAGCCGAGATTGCACCACTGCACTTCAGTCTGGGCAACAGAGCCAGACTCCATCTCAAAAATAATAATAATAATAATAATAATAATAATCAGATAAATAGAAAAAGAGGAAAGGCAGAATTTACAAACATATATTAAATAAGAAATCAAGTGTTATTTATTCTTTACCATACACGTTTGCATTGAAAAGTTCACAATACTGTATTTGATTTTTGAGCTTTTTGAGCTCAGGATTGGTCAGAGCTTGAAGTTTAAAACAGTTGACAGATTTAGGGAATAGCTTTCATGTTAGTTACCTCATCTTCATTAGCTTGGAGATGCATGGGAACCATATAAACTAACCCTAGCATTTTGTATCTAAGTAAGGCAATGATTAGAAGGATAATAATAATATACAGTAGTTCTTTCTTAAATCTCTATCAGTTCCAGATCTCTATACACTTTACCGACACCTATCATTATTCTATGCTTATAATGATGAAACAGGCTAGGTATGAAAAATGGAAAATAAGATTAGGTCATGAAGCAAATATAAACCAAACAAGATAAAATTCACTCCTGTTGACTATCATAGTATTGAGATCAGGAATGTACGCTCTCTGTAGTTAAAGCAGATTATCTTCACTGCCATCTGTTGGTCTTTATCCTGAATTAGGAGAGAAATCCCCCGAGGTTCTGTATGGCAACTAAAGAGTTAGGAAAGCCAAAATAAATCATAAGTGATTTACTCTAGATAAATTATTGAGAGCATCATAGTGACAGGCCCTTAGGAACTCTGCCTTAGAATTTCCCAAGGGCTTGGTAAATGATCCTAAAGAGAAGACTGAATCCCAGGGTGTAAGATCTGACTTGCTGGCATTTTAGGGACTTGGCCAAGGTTCCTTCTTGATACTTAGGACTAAAATGTCCCACCTGAAAAGAAGTGTTCTATTTGCAATTAAACAAAATGTGGGCTAGGCACAATGGTACATGCCTGTAATCCCAGCACTTTGGGAGGCTGAGGCGGGCGGATAGTCTGAGGTCAGGAGTTTGAGGCCAGTCTGGCCAACATGGTGAAATTCCATCTCTAAATAAATAAATAAATAAATAAAACAAAATTTAAAAATTGCTGGGTGTGGTGGTAAGCGCCTGTAGTCCTAATTATTTGGGAGGCTGAGGCAGGAGAATCGCTTGAACCTAGGAGGAGGAAGTTTCAGTCAGCTGAGATCGGACCATTGTACTCCAGCCTGGGCGACAAGAGTGAGACTCTGTCTCAAAACAAACAAAAAAAATGCTGGGTGCAGTGACTCACGCCTGTAATCCTAGCACTTTGAGAGGCCAAGGTGGGCTGATTGCCTGAGCTTAGGAGTTCAAGACCAGCCTGCGCAAATGGTGAAACTCCATCTCTACTAAAATACAAAAATATTAGTCCGGCGAGGCGGTGTGCGCCTGTGATCCCAGCTACTTGGGAGGCTGAGGCAGAAGAATTGCTTGAACCCAGGAGGTGAAGGTTATAGCAAGCCAAGATCATGCCACTGCACTCCAGCCCAGATGACAGAGCAAGACTGCGTCTCAAAAAAAAAAAAAAAAAGCAAAACAAAACAAAAAAACAAAAACAAGAAAATGTGAAAATGGACAGCTCTGAGGAAATGGGAAAAACCAGTTGCTGAGAGAGCTGCAGTAGGTCAGTCCCACGAAGGGATGCCTACTTCCTGTCTCTGCTCCTCAGCTATGTTCTCTTCATAAGCAGAAATCTGTGACCAGGAAACTCTCTGTATGGTGAGGTGGCCTGGCCTAAGTCCTTGGCTTATCTAAAAGCCCTTAATAATCCAGCCCTTAATAATCCCCCACAGTTTCAGAGGAATTTCTAGGACTGCTAATCTCCTGTTGGCTTACTAGGGATTCAGGTCCTCATCTATAACCTCAATAGTTGCATTGACCATGTGCCTCCCAGGCTCCACTATGGATATAACAGGATGTACTTAGAAAATTCCTTTATTTTGGCGTTTGTTTTTTCCTTTTTGCAACCAGTTTCTCAGGTTAAAAAAAATTCCTTTATCTTTGTTTGAAAGAGAAAACCACCACCTGAAACTTCCTAAATGTTCATGAGTCAAACAGGATGATAACATTCACCCCATTGTTATCGTCCCTACCTTTTATTTAATGTCATGAGCATAAGGTGTGGACCCAAAGAACAAATACAGAGTTTTGCAGTTGTGCTGGGTAATGCCTAAGTTTTGTATGTACCTGGGATACTAGGGTTGTAAATCACAATTAAAGATGAAAAATGTTAGGAGGGAAGTAAAGCAGAAAGCCCAAATCAGACAGTGAATTAGGGATTAAGTGGGCGTGGTGGAAAGGCAGGCTAAGAACATTTAGAGAGAGAGAAAAATAGCAGAGACTCTCTCAGAACAAGAATTCATTGTTCTAGCTTTCAGGAAGTGTCTATATTGGGTGTGGAGGAAAAAAAAGGAGATGTGGGACATTTCAGAGAAGACACTGCCCAGACTAGACCTTTTATCCTCCCATGCATGTGCACATATACACCTCAGTTCCATTATAAGCTTTTGGTGGAAAAGGTAAAGCATTTTATTGAAAAAGCCTCACAGTTCTGACTCTTTGTCCTTTTCATCCAGGTAGTATTCATCATCTGTGGTTGTGTCTGTATCACAATCTGAGTCCACTGGGTCGTCTTCATAGATATTGAGTGGTTCACTTGGAGATAAGCTATCTTCTGGCATCTGACTACTGGGAGAATTTGAGCTTAATGACTCTGAGGGTTTGGGAGGGTTCATCGAATCATCTTTCAGGAAGCCCGGGTTCTTAAGAAAACTTGGTTTCCATAACCTTCCTTGTGTAAGTGACCTCTTTACATTCTCTAAGAAAGCTAACTGTTGTTCTTTCCCAAAGATCCCATAGTCGATAGGTCTGCATATAGATGTTGCAGACTTGGGACCTGCTTTTGTCCCGCTGCGAAAAGTCCAACTTTCATTTCCATCACAGGAGGGGAGTTCAGAGAAAGATTTGAATCTTCGACTGTACCCATTGTTGATAGAGAATTCATTCCCAAGGGTCAGTCGACTCAGGGCATTGTCAATAGAAGTACTTTCAGAAAAATGGCGCTCCCTGACTTTCGGAGGATGACTTTTTCGTAGCAGATCGCCATGCACATTAATGCTTTTTAAACTCTTTGAACGATAGATGTGTGGCTCAGGTTCCCACTCCAGAGATGAAGCACTCCTTTGTTGCTGCCGAAAACTGGCCAGTGGGATGCTTACTCCAGATTTCTGTGCAGGCTCCAGTGGAAAAGGAGGGCTCAGCCTCCTCTGATCGTCAGAGAATTCTGCTTCCCTGAGGCTGGTGAATGTGAGCAGGGATGGGGCTCCTGATTCTCCTTCTAAATTCTGAGCTATTGTGACGTCTTTAGAATTCTCATACTGTTGTTGTGATTCTGGGACATTTTTAAACTCATTCTGATGTCGTTGTGAAATGCTGTTAGACTTCTGGTTGCTGGCGTGTGTAGAAGATTCTCTGTTGGGTAGTAAAGTAGTGGGGAGAGGCTTCTTGGACTTCTTCATGTGCATTCCATCTTCACTCAACCTGCTTTCACCTCTGGATTCTGCAGACTTTGGAGTAGGCTCAGGGAAGAGTGGGTTGCACTCCACTGTGCCAACAGGTAAATGGTCAAAGCCAGACCTACTCCTACTTTTGGGGAAGATAGTAGCTACATGTCTTCTAGGGCTTACATCTTTAGCTGGGAATTTTCTGCTTGCTTTAGACATGGCTGCCAATCTGTGTTTACCTGAAGATCTATTTTCCCCCTTCACTAGGTCTTCCAAGGTGGTTTTATTTTTATTGTTTCCTTCAGGAAGGGAAGGTTGATCCCATGCTAACTGCATTTCATCTTCAGCCTTCCTGCTCTCTGTCGTATTTGCCTTCTGACTTCTTTGAGGTAATTCTCTAGGTCCAGACTGCAGATTTCCTAAGTCTGGTTCATCTGACTGAGTCTCCTCACCAAGCCATAGTTTATGCAGTGCTGGAGTAAGAGCAAAGACTTGGCTCTCTGAGTGAGAAAGTGTTTCATTAGTCATTCTTTGGCAGTTGGTGTCAACGTCCCCTCTGCCTTCCCTAGGCTGTGAGCCATTGGAGCCATCACCTACAGCTGTGGATATGTGATCTTTCTGAGGACACTTCCCACTTCCAGTAAATGGAATGGCTCTACCACTCCCTGTACACTCCCAAGAACTTCTTCTGGTTTGGGAATTTCCAATATTTTTTTCTGAAAGAGCTGGAAGACTAGAGGGACCACTGTCACTTGAATTAATGGATTGTTGGCAATTTTCGGATCTTTCTTTGGAAACATTTTTTCCCTGAAGCATCAATAAAGTATGCAAGGTTTCACTTTGCAATTTTTTGCCTCCTTCTTTCCTGTTTTCTGAATCCTCTAAAGGTGTTTTAGCTAAATTATCTGAAAAATTCTCTCTGACTTTAGATTCCTCTTTAGGAAGAGAAACAGCTGCCTCAATAGAAGCCATTTCCTGTAATGTAGGCTCCAGGAGCCCGCTGTTTGATAATCGGAAGGCAGTCATATTTTCAATGATCAGACTCTGATCAGAGTTGACCGACATCTTTAGATCTTCACACGAAGGTGTTCCTGACTGATCTTGTGTAGAATGATTCTGTGCGTCTTTTTCTAGAGCATTGGGAAAGGTTTCAGTCTCCACTCGAGGTGATTCTAGAAGTGAATCAGTATTTTGTGTATACTGTTGAAGGAGGTTACAGAATTTTTTGCTGGGTTTCCTTGGTAGAGTGTAATATATTGAGACCACCTCCAGACATTTTACATTATCTTCATCACCAGAAACAGAAAACATACTAGTTGTCTTAACTTTATGTAAAGTTTTTTCCCGTTCTTTTCCTGACAAGTCTGAACAAAAAGGTAAAGGGTCTTCATTTGAAAGGGCAAATACACTTCTCCTGGAGGCAGCCATTTTACCTTCCTTCTCAGTGAATTCTTGGAAGTTTTCCTTTTGGTGGTGTCTTTTGGTTAAAGAACAATCTCTAACAGATGAGTCACTTTCCACAGGGCAAATAATTCTCTCCCAAAGCCTTGGTGTTAGCTCAGAAGCATCCGTGCCTGAGGCCAATGGCTTTTTTCTTTCTTCTCTTCCAGTTGAGGCATGTGGCTCCCCTGAGGGACATGACATAGCCCTCTTGGTGAGGAACGGAAGTGGCCCTTTTCTAAAAGAAGCAGATCCACCGCTTTTCACATTTGTCATTCTCTCTGTGGTTTCAGGTGCTCCCAGGGCTGAGTCTGAAACGACTTTGGAACATTCAGTCACCGACTCAGGAGAACTGGGACTAAATTTGTTTAATGTACAGTTCCCCATTGTATCTTCTACATTATTTTTGATTTGGAAGGGAAGTGGCCCATTCCTCAATGAAGCAGGCATTATTTGACTTCCTGACTGCCTGCCATGTATGAGAAAACTGCTTGATTTTCTTGGCAAGGTACAATAAATTGTGTCAAGCTCTGAAGCTTTGGAATTGCTTTGATTTGCTTCAATGAGGCTCCCACGACCACTGGTGGGTACTATTCTATTTTCTGTTTTGCTTAACTTTTCAATACAGGATATACGATGCCTTATTTTTCCTTTTCCCCTTCCAGTCCTAAAAGGAGAGTGTGAATGGCATTTGACAACATCAACCACTTCATCATGTGCAGGCACATCACTATCATTTCTCTCTTGGCTTTCTGAGTGACTTACAACAAACTGATTATTTTGGTCCTTCCCAGCATTGTCTTTTTCTTCTCTTTCTCCCAGTGATGAATCTTTGTCTGAAGGACTTCTCCTGGAGAACACTGTAGTAGATGGAACCACAGGAGCATCAAGGGAAGAATTACTGGAGGGTGAGGAATCTGGTATTGCAGCTGATGACAGAGCTAAAGAATCACACGAGGTCTTGTGGCCAGCAGCCAACTTGCCACAGTTGGTAGAATGAATTGCAGCACATTGTTCTCCCTCAGTATCTAAAATAACAGGCTTTTCTAGAGATTGTGCATTTTGAGTATCAGTCGGTACAGAGCTCCAGTGGTTATTTGTAATAATGCTTGAAATATCTTCATTAGCTACAGTTAATTCCTGGTGACAACCTTGGTCTGGCCTGGGGAGAGATGGTGGTGTTCTGTGTTCCTGAATGAAAGGAAGGGAAGCTGTCGAGCCAAGTTTTCTGTTCCCAGTAAACCTCTCATCTTGTTTAATGTCATTGGATTTATCTTTATACGGTACATACGTTTTGGAGGTATCTTTCCGGGAAAAGACTCTGGGTGGCTTTTTTGAACTTATTGTGGTAGATGCATTAAAATCAAACCTGTTGCTCTTGGCTGAGTCCTGGGAGAAGGGATTTTGAAAATCAGGTAAACGGTTTGACGTCCCTGTCTGTGAAACAGGCTGGGGTATTTCACTTGCCTTCTTTGTCTGGTCCATCTTGCTTAGCTGTCTGTCTTCTTTTGAAATAAATTCATTTAAGTCTTTCTCACTATTTACTTCTTTGATATTGTGCTGGCTTTTGGCAAGAGGCAGAGAGTCAGTTGAATTGCTGTTGGTCATAGTGACTTCTGCATGGCTTCTCATTGGATGAGAGGCAGGCTTATTAAGAATAATTTTCGGCAAAGTGCCTGTGGGATTCTGCAAGTTGGAGCTCTGAGAATTCCTTCTGTCATCAGAAATCTGGGAAAAGGAAGTTTTGAATGAGGGTGCTAGAGTCTGAGCAATTCCAAATGAGGAAGCTTCTTTGTTTATATGTACTTCTACAGGAGAACTGTCCTCCTGTTGACTTACCAACTCACCAGATTTGATGTGACAGTTTGAAGCAGTCATGGAGCAAACATTTGGCGTGCCAAAATGAGGAGTCAACTGGTTCTCATTACCATGTGATACCTCTATCCTCTCCAGTGTGGATGTGTGAAAATCAAACTGCCAGGGAGGTGGCTCCTCTTGGCCTCTGGAAACATCTGTTCCATAACCAGAAGAAAATGATTCCCAGTGTTCAGAAGAAACACTATGGCTATGAATAGCTGATGCACTATTTGCTTCCATGGAAATCATTTCAAAGTCTCTGTCAGAAGAACTGAATGAATTCCTGGTTCGATGAAAGTCAGACCAGGAAGAATGTCCTTTCTGCTGACCCCCAAAAGGACTTTGTCCAAATCTCCTCTGTTCTCTGCTTTGTCCAAAGGTACTGCTGAAGAAAGATCTGGCAAATGGGTTGCTTTGATGGTAGAATGGCATATTCTCTGAGTTCTCAAAAGTGTCAGGACTCATTGCATTCTCCATGGGGGCATTTAAACTAACATGGTGGTAAACATTCTGTGAATGGTATGACTCATAGCTCCTATTCTCCTGAAAATACCTGGGATACGCATACTTGTCAGCAGGGTCAATTTCCATTGGTGATGGTGCCCTCAGGAACTCTGCCTGGTTCTGCCTATCTCTAGAGAAATCTGATCTGTTCCATATGATGGATGATAAAGGAGTTCTCTTTGGACTCTGCCGGTGCCTTAGTGGTACAAACACACTCTTGTTCTGAGTTGTGGCTGGAAAATGTAAGCTTCTTGCTGTGAAATGCCCTGTGGCTGGTAAGGCCGACCGTTGCCTACTGTCAAAGCACAGCGAAGTACTTCCAAAAGTATTCTTTTGCACATGATCTTCTTTAAAGGCTCTGGGCTCCCTTGTTCTATACATATCATAAATTGTCCTTGTCCTAGGAGAAAAGGTTTTAAAACCTTCCCTAGGAGCTCCTGGTCTTAGGATGTCATAGATAGACATATTGGAAGTGTCATTATAGTGTTTTTTGTGCCTTTCTGTGATATTACCATGTCTGTTCCCACTGGAATAAAAATGACTAAACTGTGTTCTTGATCCATAGTTGAGGGGCGTTCTGGTGTTCACTGAGCTTGCAGACTGTTCCTGAGCCAATTTGCTATCCAAGTCATCTAAAACTGAAAAGAGAAAGTGAATCAACTTTTTTATATATGTTTTTACAGTTTAGCAATGATTTGAATCATTGAAGCCTCCTTTTTAAGAAACATAATCATTTATAATTTTTTTTTTTTTTTTTGAGATGGAGTTTCCCTCTTGTTACCCAGGCTGGAGTGCAATGGCGCAAATCTCGGCTCACCGCAACCTCCGCCTCCCGGGTTCAGGCAATTCTCCTGCCCCAGCCTCCTGAGTCGCTGGGATTACAGGCACGCGCCACCATGCCCAGCTAATTTTTTGTATTTTCAGTAGAGACGGGGTTTCACCATGTTGACCAGGATGGTCTCGATCTCTTGACCTCGTGATCCACCTGCCTCGGCCTCCCACAGTGCTGGGATTACAGGCTTGAGCCACTGCACCCGGCATTCATTTATAATTTTTTAATGATATTATCATAAATGTAATTTTGATTATATTTTTAAGATAGACTGACTTTTACAAGACTATAGTGAAAATTTCTTTCCTACTTTTTCAAAGTAAACCTTTCATAATTCCTTAAGACAACAGAACTATATTTTTCTAACAATGAATTTTAGCCACGGTTTCTTTTAGTGCATCTAAAATGTACTGAGTTTTTTTAAGATATGGGCTAGTAATAAAAAAGAATTAATAATGCAGACATTGAATAATTTGATAATTGTTAGTATTATTAAGCCTTGTCTTTCTGTTTCTTTCATGTCACTAGGTTGCTACAATATTTCCACCTGTGTATACCTCCTGGGATCATAATAGAAATGAGCCTCTTACAGAGCATATGATTTCTGTGTTGTACTGTTAAGAAAATAGCATTTTCGGCCAGGCAAGGTGGCTCACGCCTGTAATTCCAGCACTTTGGGAGGTCGAGGTGGGCAGATCACCTGAGGTCAAGAGTTCAAGACCAGCCTGGCAAACATGGTGAAACCCCATCTCTACTATAAATACAAAAATTAGCCAGGTGTGGTGGTGCACACCTGTAATCCCTGCTACTCAGGAGGCTGAGGCAGGAGAACTGCTTGAAACTGGGAGGCAGAGGTTGTAGTGAGCTGAGATCATGCCACTGCACTCCAGCCTAAGTGACAGAGAAAGACTCTATCAAAAAAAAAAGGAAACAGTATTTACACTAAAAGTTTACACCTAATTTATGAACATACTTTGTTGGATGGATTTGAACAATATATATAATTAAAAGTGCTATATAATGTTATTAAATAATATGCCAATGTTAGATTTTTTTTCTGGAAAAATTAACATCCATTAATATTTCTATAAGACAGCACTTTCTGTGTGTCAGGCAGAATCCTAAACACTTAATATATTAATTCATTAAATCCTCACATAACCTTAGAAGGTTGGTCCTATTATTCTTCTTATTCTATAATGAGGAAACTGAAGCAAGAAGAAATTAACTAAATTGCTAAGATCGCACAGCACTGGGATTGGAACCCAGACGGTCTGTTTCCTGAGTCCATGCATGCAACCACTGTGCAATGCAACCTCTGTGACATAAGAGCTCACTTTTTATTTTCTGCTCTTTATGGACTATACAGATGATTTTACTATAAGATGAGCTCATAGTTTTACAAAGACATGAAGTTGCTATTGTCAAATAATTATTATTTTTCTTCAGTAGCAAACTCAGGGAGTGGTGCCAAAGTCAGTGTCCAGGGACCTCTTTATGATAACTGAAGACCTAGACCAAGCCCAGACCCAGGGCTCATGCTCTCTAGGATCACAGCCTCTGTGATCTCAGACACGCCACAACATCCTTTTGGGGACACAGTTGGTTTTTCTTTGAATTGTATTAATTTAATTGTATGTGACATCTTTTCCTCAATAAAAACCCATTAGACTTTGAATAGAATCATAATCCTTTGAGGTTTGTAGACTCTTTAAGACCCACTCTATAGTAGTATAATTTACTATTTTCATGTTCAATAAATATGAATAAATTATAAATTTGATTTTAACTGTATAATGACAAGGAAAGTAAGTGTCTGAGCATACATAGGTGAAATGTACATGCAATATGCCAATTACGTTAGGGAAGCTGCTAAAGGGATTTTTAAAAATCTGTTCTGGATTTTCCCTACCCTATTTTAACTGCAGGTTGGTGCTATTAAGTTTGTGCAGCCAAAAGAAAAACTGATCTTGAATATTAAGGATATGTAATTAAGGAATCCTTTAGGGAATAATCTGCCAATGTTTTCATGAAAATATTTACTTACCCCTCCTAGGGCCTGAAGTAATTTGTTCCCTATAGCCACAATAAAATAATTAAACAATGCTGAAGTATAAGGTGGAGCAAAAACAAAACAAAACAAAACTGCATAATGAATAAAAATCTATCTTTAAAACAAATCATAATGAAAATCTCTTTGATATCCATTCTCCCTTTCAAGCTGTTTATGTTTTCCTTTCCCCTTAAAGCCTTGGCTGACCACAAGAGCAAAATGTAGTTAGAACAGAAAATACAGAAAGGTATAACAAAATAGGTAAAATCACCAGGAATTCTACCTAGAGGTAACCACTCTTAACATCTCCATGACAGGATTTTAAATTAAAGCCACTTAGAATCCCAGATTAACAATACTGTTTTACTCACCACTCCTGAGGTCAGAAAAATTCCTGTTCTGCTTCTGTACTTTATTCAGAAAGGCCACATTATTATCATTTTCATTCCATAAACAGTAGCTCTCCTTTTCCAACAAAACCTTCATTTTGGATCAGTGATTTTCCTCTGGTCTCTGCCAGGAAGTGTCTTACTGAAGAAAGCCCCTAGGTTGACTGTTCAGCTGGCTGTCTCTCCCCGACTGCTGTCCCACAGGATAAGGGCCAGGCGATGGTATTGGCTTTGCAAACTAAACTTAGTTCCTCAAGGTGAAGCTGGTGATAACTTCAGAGTTAACTTTTCAAATGGCTGGGCTTATACAGAGTAACCTTTGTAAAAGTGAACTATGATCATATAATGATAAGATACATGTGCATTTGGAACGCCACTGCTTTTGGAACCTGTTTCAGTTTTTATCATTGTGCAAGGTTAATTGTTTAGTGACAATTAGATTTTGTCACAGTGCATTTGGGTCCTAATCTGGAACAATAAAAGTCTATTAAACAGCAAACTTTGTAGATGTGTTTCCTAAAGATGTATTTCCTTTTTACCTGAGGTTAAATATTTATTTATTTATTTATTTATTTTTCTGAGATGGGAGTCTTGCTCTGTCACCCAGGCTGGAGTGCAATAGTGTGATCTAGGCTCACTGCAACCTCTGCCTTCTGGGTTCAAGCAATTCTCTTGCCTCAGCCTCCCAAGTAGTTAGGATTACAGGCACATGTGACCATATCCAGCTAATTTTTATTTTTAGGTAGCGTCGGGGGTTTTACCAAGTTGGCCAGGCTGGTCTTGAACTCCTGACCCCTGAGGTTAAATATTAAACATTATTACTATTCCATATATTTATCGGTCCTTGATTTGAGAATATTTGCTTAGATTATATTTAATCACAAGGTTCTTAATACTTGTGTTAACAACATATATCAGCATCCTCTTCAAATAAGCTAAACAAGAGGACTTAAAAAATAAAGTACAGCATTTGATATGTTTTGAGTACTTTAATACAAACTAGTTATTGTTTACTTCCTTTAGTACCAGTTGTTGCAAAGGCAATTTAATGGATGAACTTACCTTGGAAAAACTCATTCTCCAGCAGTGAAGTGTCCCACGGCGTAGGCATACTACTCTCCTCCCTCATGACTGCTGGCTTGGGGACAAATGCACTGTTGACTAGTTGATTTTCCAGGGGTGAATTGTATATTTTTGCCTCCTAATTTTAAAGTAGAGAACAATATTATTTCTGACACTTCACCAGTCAAAATACTCACACACTCCCACAAAACTGTCCCAAGCTTAAATGTCTTAGTCTAAGCACTACAAACCCATTTTTCTAATATTTATTTCTCAATTTATAATGTGTTGTTTTTGCCATTTGAACTTCTCTATACCCACTTTAATTCTTTCAGTGATGAGTCTTTCAGGCAAGGTACTGAGCCTCTCTCTGCCAAAGTTTCCTGCAAACTTACATAGCACTATCACAGGCGGTTGAATCAGAGCAATCCAACTCAAATAGGGGCTGGGTAAGATAAGGCTGAGACTTACTGGGCTGCATTCCCAGCTGGTTAAGGCATTCTAAGTCACAGGATGAGATAGATGTTCAGCCCAAGGTACAGGTCACAAAGACCTTGCTTATAAAAACTGGTTACAATGAAGAAGCCGGCCAAAACCTACCAATACCAAGATAGCAACAAGAGTGACCTCTGGTCATCCTCACTGTTACACTCCCACCAGCACCATGACAGTTTAAAAATGCCAAGGTCAGGAAATTATCCTATATAGTCTAAAAAGGGGAGGATTGAATAATCCACCTCTCGTTTAGCATATCATCACGAAATAACCATAACAACGGGCAACCAGCAGCCCTCAGGGCCTGCTCTGTCTATGAAGCGGCCATTCTTTTATTCCTTTACTTTCTTAATAAACTTGCTTTCACTTTATGGACTCGTCCTGAATTCGTTCTCGTGAGAGATCCAAGAACCCACTCTTGGGGTCTGGATCTGGACCTTTGTCGGGTAACATCTTCTTGGCAACCACAGATGGGACAATACTAAGGAAACTCCTGAACCAAAGACTAACTTTGGGTAAGTGGTGGGGTGTGGTAACAGCACTACACAGATCTTAGCGGGGCATTCCTGGAAGAGAGGAAAGACATGGACCTCTCTTGAGTTTGGAATGCTGTCTCCATGGCTCCAATGGCTTGGATTTTAGATTTCCTAGCATTGTACCCAGTTATTAAGAGCCTGTTAGCTAGAACTCATAGTAGACCTTCAGATTTGTGAACTTGACCGTGTGCAGTGGCTCACACCTGTAATCCCAACACTTTGGGAGGCTGAGGTGGGCAGATCACTTGAGGCCCCAGAGTTCCAAACCAGCCTGGCCAACAAGGTGAAATCCTGTCTCTACTAAAAATGCAAAAATTAGCTAGGCATGGTGGCCGGTGCCTATAATCCCAGCTACTCCAGAGGCTGAGGCAGAACTGCTTAAACCCAGGAGACGCAGATTGCAGTGAGCCAAGATCTGGCCACAGCACTCCAGCCTAGGTGACAGAGCAAGACTGTGTCTTGGAAAAAAAAAATTATACACACACACACACACACAAACACACACACACACATATATCTTTTGTATATATATATATATATATATATATATATATATATATATACATATATATATATACAAAAATTAGCTGGACATGGTGGTAGATGCCTGTAATCTCAGCTACTTAGGAAGCTGAGGCAGGAGAATTGCTTGAACCCAGGGAGGTGGAGGTTGTTGTGAGCTAAGATCGTGCCTCTGCACTCCAGGCTGGGAAATAGTGCGAGACTCTTTCTCAAAAAAAAAAAAAAAAAAAAATTGTGAACCTCATGGATTTAGGGAGAAAACTGTGTTTCTATTAGAGGTCATCTAGAATAGGGGTCCCTGACCCCTGGGCCACGGACTGGTACTGATCTGTGGCCTGTTAGGAATCAGGCTGCACAGTGTGGGGTGAGGGGCGAACATTACCGCCTAAGTTCCGCCTCCAGTCAGATCAGCCCAGGGATTAGATTCTCAAAGAAGCACGAACCAATGAGTTTTAAATTTCTCTTCATAGGATCAGTATGTCAGTATGTTCAGTTCTTTGTTCTCCATTTTAAAGTTTAAATTTCTTGTAGTTTCAGTAAACAACCTTTTCTGCCAGTTCTAATCAGTAGTTCACATCTCTTCCCCTGGTCCCCTGCTCTGTCCTGACTCATCCCAGTCACCTGCTCCAGTCACCTGCTTTGACCTGAGTCACCACTGGTTACCTGCCCCTAACCATCCTTCCTGCCAAACTACCTACCCTGCCACTCTGGCTGGTACCCCTGCTCTCTTTAAAACAGCCAATCGGAATTAGCCTAGACTGTGTAGTCTAACCCTAGCCAGTAGGGGAATAACATAGCAGAAGGGGCTACCTCTGTCAGGAATAAGTCCTCCTTCCCCTCCTAGTCCAGGTGTGCACTCGCCATTGTTTCGTTTGTGAGCTGCACCCTTCTATAGAAGTAAACTGCCTTGCCGAGGAAATTTACATTCAAGTGCTACTTCTTTTGTGGCATTGAAAGTTTACATATAACACTATTGTGAACTGCACATGTGAGGGATCTAGGTTGTGTTCTTCTTATGAGAATCCAACTAATGCCTGATGTTCAGAGGTGGAACAGTTTCATTCCCAAACCACCCCCTTCAGTGAAGAAGTTGTTTTCCACAAAGTGGGTCCCTGGTGCCAAAAAGGCTGGGGGCTGCTGCACTAGAATGGTAGAATCCCTCAGACTGTCATTAAGGAGCTGATTTGGTAGTTCTGAAACAAAGGCATTCAAAAATATGACTGTATAAATAATAAATGATGTAAAAAAATGTATTGCTAATTTTTCAATGAAAGGATTTAAGAGAATGACTTAAAACTAAACTTGTTTGCCTTTATTATTTATTTTATTTTATTTTACTTTTTTAAGACAGAGTCTCGCTCTGTTGCCCAAGCCAGAGTGTGGTGGTGTGATCTCAGCTCACTGCAACCTCCACCTCCCTGGTTCGAGAATTCCCCTGCCTCAGCCTCCTGAGTAGCTGGGATTACAGGCACGTGCCACCACATCAGCTACTTCTTTTGTATTTTTAGTAGAGACGAGGTTTCACCAGGTTGACTAGACTGGTCTCGATCTCCCAGTCTCAGGCAATACACCTGGCTAGGCTTTCCAAAGTGCTGGGATTACAGGCATGAGCCACTGAGCCCAGCTATTATTATTACTATATTTTACTACCAAGTATTTATCTTGATTTCATAAAATCCAATCACTGCTCTACTTTCAAGCTTTTATTTGTCTTCATAACCTTGTGGACATTATCCACTCCCATGCTTTCACTTTCTTGTGCCAAAACCCCATTTGCATTTCCTCTGTCAAACTGGCTCTGTCACTCATGACTCCACTTGAACTCATCCTGCACTCACCCACTTCCCTTTCCAGTCTTGATCTTCAGCTTTCTTTGCTACCCAGTCCTTGTCTCTTGAATCCCTCTTCCCCACCTCAAGATTTCCCTTTCCATTTGACCTTCACCACTACATTTTTATCTCATCTTTCATACCTAAGATCACATGTCAACCTTTCCAAAGCTCCAACTTCTTGAGTTCTCCATCACAGGTCTGTCCGATTCCACCGTGCTGGTTCTCTTACCCACTACATTGCTCGTGACCTTGTATTTTCACTCCTGCTTGTTTTCTTTCTCAAGGTCTAGGTCACTTAATTCCCACAGAAACCTGCCCAAATTTCATTGACCTATAGTTGTCATTGTATGAGTAAGCCACAATTGACTACTCACAAAGGAGATTTATTAATAAGAAAGGCATGCTCCCATGATAACTTATTGGTCATCGAATAATTTAGCATACTAATTAAAATTCAGAAGTAAACAAATATTGAAAGCAAAACACAACTATAGTGGGATACTGACTGGAGGTAATAAAACCTAAAACTAACCATTTGAGAAATCAGATCAGTTAAAGTTAATTCTTTTTACCCTACATCAAAGTGTTCCCTCTTGTCTGTCCAATTCGGAGGTTACCTTACATCAATAACTGTCATTATTAGTGATAACAATTAGTCACAGATCTTATAAATCCATTCTTCTCAAATCTGCAATTTTGATAGTTGGTGTAAAGTAGATATATCTGATTAAGAGAATATCAGGCATAATTCTCTCTTAATCATTTAACACCCAAACAATCTTTTCTCTATGTATGTAGACCAGTACATTCCTTGTGGCCGCCAGGATTGCATTCCTTTGTAATGATAATTCACAATGAAATGAAAAGTACATGAACAGAGGGGTCATGCGAAGAGGTGACCCTCTCCAGGCTGGGAAGAATCACTATCCTCTAGAGACCCTGAGTATAATTTCCTTTGGTTTTATTTGTGCCCAGATCTGCTACTTCAAGACCCACCCTACTCAAACAACATGCCCAGGATGCTTTCAACACATAGAGATGTAAATTATATAGCTAACAAGAGAAAATACGGAGGTTTCATTTACATTCATCTGTAATTCTGCAAGGGTGATGTTAGTGATTAAAAAAAAAAGGAAGCTGTGAGTCAATAGTAGGTATCAGACATCAAATACTGAAAACTATCACGGCCTATAGACTCCTAACTTTTATTTAAGCTAAGTTATTATTAGCTTAAATAAATTAATTAAATTATGAGATATTATTGCTGTTGTTAGCAGCAGCAACTAAACATTGATTATCCTAGAGAAGAAAACTGAGGATTCGAGAGGTCAGGTCATTAGTCTCTGGTCACATTGGTGGAGGGAGGGGATTCATTTCCAGTCTGTCAGATTCCAGAGCCAATGCTAAAACACTTCATTCTACTCATGATCCAGTTTTGCAGCTCTTGGCCTATTAGTGCATTACATCCTTGTAGTAGGCATTCTCTGAAGCCAAATACCAGTCATAGAGCTGCTGGGAGGCACCTGAAGTTTCTTGTGACCTAGAAGTAAATCCCTCCAGGGCTCAGAGCAGACACTGACTGATTCTCATCAGGGCTTAGTTTTGGACTCAGAAGCCCCCTGAAAATAATGCTCCATGCTGTGGAGTTGCCATAAAAAGTGAAGCCTATTTCCCATCCCTGGCCTAGAGGATGAGGTTCTAACACCTCTTTGCAGCACAATTGTGTCAAAATCCTTTCCAGTTTTTGTTGTTGT